GGGTCTCCTTTGATCGGAGAGATAATTTCACATCATTCTTAAAATTATTGTATTCTGATAAATTAATCAATCGTGAATTGGGTTTCGAATTTTCGTGTTGGTGAATCGAAAAAAGGGTTTTGATTTTTTTGGAGTTTTGGGGTGATGGGTTTAGGTAGTAAGGTGAACAAATTCAGTTTCGGTGATAATGATCTCACCGAAAACGAAGGTGCCGATGGAGATTCTCGCGACGAAGGAGATGGGTTTGGTTCTGTTTCGTGTTCGATTTGTCTCGAGACGGTTGTTGAAAATGGGGATCGAGCTTGGGCTAAGCTTCAATGTGGTCACCTCTTTCATCTAGGTATTGTTTCCCTTCTTCTTGAGATTCGATTGAATTTGGTCCAGATTTCGATTTGAATGATCCAGATCTACGTTTTGATTTGTGAATTATGGGTAATTGAGCTCTGAATCAAATTCGGTTTTGTGTTTGATTTGATTATGGAGATATAACTCAAATTAGGGTTTGTTTGATCACTACTTCATAACAAATGTTAAGTTTCTTTGATTGATTGATCTCTTCTCCATGTTTTGATGCATCTATTAGCTCAGAATCTAAGAATATTCGTAAATGCATTTATGTGTTCTTGATTTAATATTGTTTACATGGGAATGATTAGCTCGCAAGTGCATAGATTTGAGATGATTCAATCATATATATGATGCAAGAGAGCTTTGCAGCTAAAGTTTGAGATATCCTCCAATGTGTGGCCGTATTGAATGCTTCTTACGCTGTTTCGTTTGTTTCCTTTATTTTTTGTAGACTGTATTGGTTCAGCTTTCAATGCAAAGGGGGTGATGCAATGCCCTAACTGTCGGAAAGTAGAGAAAGGCCAGTGGCTTTACGCAAACGGTTGCCGTTCATATCCTGAATTCAATGTCGACGATTGGGTTCACGAAGAGGAAATTTTTGATATCGGAGCATACTCTGAACTGGTAAAAACTTGTAACCCGTCCCAAGTTTTATTCCTTTATGTTTATCAGTCTAGTTTGATTGCTTGAATTATGTTCGACGTTGAAAATGCTTAGGGTTTATGTATCTTTGCAGTCTTTTGGAGTTCACTGGTGCCCGTTTGGAAGTTCAGCGCGTCTTCCTTCGTTTGAGTAAGTAATAACATAATATCAATATGTACTTAAACTCTATTTTCTGCTACTTTTCGCAATCGAAAGTGGAACTTTACTGATGAATCTCTCTTCAACTTTTGTAGGGATGGAGAATTTTCGCCGAGTTCATGTAAGACATTGTCAGATTGGTTATTTCTCGTTCTTCTCCCCATTTTATCTTCTTCCCAAGTGTGACTTATCGAGTCTTTCACTGTGGTACAGATCATGAGCTCATGGGCCAACAAGGTTACTTTACAGAACCAGCAGCGCCAACAGCGGGACACCCGTGTCCATATGTAACCTACCTTGGCCCTCTTCATTCGTCTTCCTCTAGCACCGGCGGTGCTGCAGCTGTTTCAGACAGTTCGAGTTTCAATAGTCACTGGAACACTGGCTCATCTGTTTCCAGTGAAGTCCCAACTCCTTATGGCTTCCCTGTGGATCCGCATTACCATGGATGGGATTATCATTCCCCTCCGCCCCGACTGCCACAGCATTTCTCTGCTTCTGGCGCTCACGTGGGCAGCCCAACTCAGCCAACGCCTCCACCAGCCGCTGCGAGGACATCCCGAGCTAACGGCTCAGATGTGATCAGACCTAGACCACCGCATTTCATGCGTCCCTATCATGGTCACAGGTAAACATTTTTTGTCTTGGCTTAGGTCTATCCCTACTGGTCATAAAATATTATCTTGATAGAATCTAAATTACAATTTTCTTTTAGAATTTCTTCTGAACATCTTAAACGAAAACTATAATGCTCAGAGAATTCAAATTTGTTTTAGTAAAAATATTTATCAAAACTGAATTACTGAAGTGTCGTACTTTATTTTTGACAATTGGTTGCTTAGATTGGTAACATTATAGAATCGTGGAAATAAATCAATTTTGTGGAATGTAATGGTGGAATGGAGTAAGTTAGAAAACTCGATTTTCTTGGAAGCTTTTGGAATGGATGAATAAACGATTCTGCAGGTTCTTACTAATATTGAGTATCATATATTATATTTTTGTTAAAATACATCTATTTGTTGGGTTATTGCAGTTCCAGTGGTAGAGCCGGTAGCTCGGTGGCATCTGTTCCGAGGACACCGCCTTTTCCGGGTAGCAATGCTCGAACCAGAGACAGAATGCAAGCTCTTCAAGCGTATTACCAACAGTCTTCTGGGCAGTCCCACCAACCGGATTCTCCCATAGTCTCTCGTGGGCCTGTATTCCCGTCTGGGCGGAGGCCCGGTAGAGGAATAGCTTCGGGGATGGGATCAAGTTCATCTTCTTCTGATCAGGCAGGAGGAAGTGGGTTTATCCGGTTCAACATATGGGAGAGAGATCCTTACATGTCGCAACAACAAGCCTACTCGGTTAACCAAATGGATAGAGAACCATCCATTTGGACATCTTCGTTCAACGAAGGATCTGGAAGCTTCCATCAGAGGCACAATGGCGGATCATCGTAAGAATTGAGTCGGTATCTATCCGGAGTGGCAATTCTCATGAACGTTGGACC